GCTTAGGGCCCAAGTTAGGACTCATTTTTTGGGACTTCGAGTCATCGGCAGCCCTTTGCTTGGAGCTTGGCTCCTTGTTCACGTGCTGCACTTGCTCGGGCCATGACGCAGCAGCTCCCCCCAAAGTCTTCGAAAATCCTTTCAAGAGACTCCTCGAAGGTAGAGGAGGCGCTGGCGGGCATGAAGAAGGAGCTCCCGGGGGTAGAAGTAAGACTCCCCGCATACCTACGTGGGCATCCGCCTCTTTCACTCAGAATGGCGTTCAGACCCCGTGTTTTGTAATTCTATAATTCAGTCATTTATAGAAGGGATTGCATTCTATGGTTTATGATTTGCATATCTGAAGTACCAACCGAGCAAATTATGTTGCCATGGAGCCTTGATGCTTTTTTCTTCAAGAAGCTCTGCTCGTTTTTGTTAGCTTCCCACAGTTGTGCTGAAATCTGCCTGCTGCTGGCAGCGATACCCTCTAAATCATCACGTGCTTGCATCTATGGGTGATGGTAGCAATCCTACCTTGTCGTTCATCAGTGAGTAGCAATGCTACTGTATGAAGAGCTGTTCTGATTGTTGCTTGTAAGTCATTTTCCCTTCAAGCAGGAAAATTTGATGTACATGAATGTAGACTCCCTATTAAGGACTGCCAGTTTAAGGGGAAACACCCAAAATAGACTGCTCGACAGTCTTCGGACAGATTTCGGAAAAGTTTCAACCTGCAGGAGCTCCAGTCCCGCTCCGAGGAGCTGAAGTTCGGGGGCCCAGCTGCCGCTGGGTTTAGGGTTAGGGTTTAGGGTTTAAGGTTTAGGTTTAGGGTTTATGCATGCGGTCTCGAAGAAGCTCCTTGGAGACAAACTACGTAGGACTGACTTAATCCGCTGGGTTTAGGGTTTAGGTGGCTTGGAGCAGAAGTGAACCCCGAAGGCATTCACTTTTGGCCTCTGGAGGCTTCAGGTTGAGCCTGTGCGCACGGGCGTCTTTGAGCGCGCGCACACACACACACACACACACACACGTGTAGCATGTGCACGAAGATGTCTGCGTACGCAGAAATACAAATACTTATGCGGACATGTGCATCAGCCAAAGGTCTCTGTCAATTTGCGAATACATTGCAGATGTTCAAAGGACTTCCCGGACTTCCCAGCCCATCTGCTGATGGCGAACAGCCCTAAAATGTCGCGTGCCAGAGGCAGCAGCTGACCTTCCGGATAGAGTCCCGCGCGGACTTCGATAAGCGGGTGAAGGCAGCCTCTGGCGTGCGGAACATTGGGGTTGTCCTTTGGACATTGTCCACTACTATGGGCCCTTGCATGTTGCCCTGAACTTAAGGAACATACCAATGCCAAGGATTGAATGGTGACCCCAAAAATTCCCGGAATTTGGTTCAACCCCCCAGCGCCGCTCATCCCTTGAGACCCCTCGCCCCCCCACCAAAACCCCAAATTCCTTCTCGAGCTGTCATGACCGAATACCTTCACCCACATCCTGGACCCTGGCGACCGTAGGGTTGAGGTTTGAGGGTTTCCGGCTCAGTTGCTGAAGCTCCAGAGCCACAGGCAACACACCGATAGCGGACGGCGAGCCGGTAGACCTTACTCGGCCTTCAAACCCCAGAACCACTAACCCCCCCCAAATCCCTAAATTAGCATCTATATAAGAATCCTCTCTTTGTTAAACCCCATGCTCTAAAGCCCACAAGCCATGCATATCTAGATGCGCTGCGGTCCAAAAACCCAACGCCTCGGTTGAAGGAGAAAATTACTGGCATGCTACTCGTCCCCTGGGGCGGCGACGACGATGACGAGGAGGGCGACTGCACCGACTGCGCTCGTAGACCCGAACCCCAAGCTGTTAAAATCCCGGACCCTAAGCCCTAAACCCCAAAGACCTGAACCCAAAGATCCCAAAGCCCGACAACATCTCAAGCCCGATCTTACTGGTTCTTGACAATCAGTGGAGGATCCCTGCCGTAGTGATCCCCAAATTCCTGTGCCTTCATAGGCCCCAAAAGGCAAAACGTATTCCCACTCTAATCGATGATCATTGCATCATTGCAAGCAGCTGCCCCACCCCCCCCCTAAACCCTCAACCCCAATTCCGAAGAAACATCCCAAAAACCCCAGAGCAACCCCCACACCCAAAACCCCCCGCCCAGGAGAAGCTCCAGGAGGAGACGGGCGTCACCCTGAGGCCTGCAGACTTGAAGAGAAGCGAGGGGTTCAAAATGCCGTTTTGAATGGTTTTTTTTTTAAGGGTGTTTTTTTGATTGAGTTTGAGATGAGCTGCTCGACACCACGTGAATATGACGTCAAAGCAAAGGGTCTAGATGCAGGCACTTTCCTAAGCTTGAGCTGGCATGTTGGGTGAGGTTTTCGGAGCTTCTGCGGGGTGTCACCTATATGTGCAGACTGGGTGGTCTCAAGTCCAAGCATGAGAGGGGGGTCTCTACGTCCTTCAGCCTCTGACAGAGAGGTGCTACCCGATGGAGCAGGAGGAGCTGCTTCCGGACCAGGCACGCGTGGTGGTTGGCGCAAGGTCAACTGTTGTGAGGTTTTGGCTTGGATGGAGAATTCTGAATTTTTAGGAGTGGTGCGCGGCGCCTATTTTCACACATGTCGCGGCGTGGCTCCGAATTTTGCAGAGCCTAGCCGCGGCTTGTGTGAACATGTTGCAGCTCCGATCCCTGACTGCCTTCTCTAGAGAGGCTTTTCCCTGACCAGGTGTGCCCGCTGACTGGGAAGCCGTCGAGAATTTGGGCAATTTTCGCTTTAGCTTACTAAAGCTGTTTCGCTGTGATCTCAAAGCCCTGAAGAGATCGCGGTAAGCCCCGAGACCTAAGCCCCGGCGAGAGTTCCCAAAACTCCCGTAACCTTCTAAGGTCTTCAGTTCCCGCAGCACCTTTAAAACTCTGGCTCTTTAAAGTCTTTAAGTGCCCGAATGCCACCCTGCTGCATTTCACGGGCGGAGATGGGCCCCTCAACCCCTCAACCCCTCAACCCCTCAACCCCTCTAAGCTCTGAAAAGAAAGAAAAAACATCATTTGAGCTCCCGGTTCTCGCCTGGGAGCGCGTCAAGGGGAAGATCTCTGCGATGCCTGGGCTTCCTGGGCGCTGCCCTTCCGAACCCTGATGCCCCTAAACCTAGTCTCCTAAACGTCCTAAATGTCCTAAACCCTAAACTCCTCAACCCTAAACCCTAATCCCTAATCCCTAAACCTAGTGTAGTGCGCTGGCGGGAGTGCTGCGGCGCACTCCCAAGCGAGAACCCGGAGATTAAGGTAGCCTCCGTGGCGATCTCTGGAGAAGAGGTGATGACGCGCGGGGTAATATTTCTTATGCAAAGCCCCCCCTCTAGGGTTTAGGGGGTTCGGGGTTTAGGGTTTAGGGTTGAGGGCTTAGGGTTTAGGGAGAACCCGCTTTGGTGTTATTCTTATTCCATTGACTACCATTTGTTGTGGGTCGCGTTTCACGGTTCTCTATGCACTATTAACGATGTGCTGTTGACCATCCACTTCTTACTGTTCAATATTCACTAAGCCTGTTGACTGTTCTCTATTTCGTGTTTACTGATTTACTACTACTCTCATTGTCATGATTAATTTCAATATTATAACACCAAGTTGTATTGCACTATTACTCGTACTGTTGCTCTTACCGACTACCATCACCCACAATTATGACCACTACCATGACCCTGCTTGTGAGGGGTTTTGGGTTTTGATGCTGGGGTGCTGCTTTTGGGAGGAAGGTTCAGAGGTGCAGGGCTTAAGCTTCTGAACCCCCCCCTCCTCCTTGGATCTGCCGGTTTCGGACCCGGGGGCCTCGCTTTTCGAGATTTTCGCTCGGCGGCCAAAGGGGCCTCGACCGCAAAAAAGGGCAACGCCGCTGTGGCTGTTTCGACTCAGGTATGCTTCCACTTCGAGAGCCCTTGTTCTTTTTTCAGCCAGGGGTTCTGTTCCCTTACAGAACATACATATGAATCCCAACCACGAAAGCCTTATTAGAGTAGTAGCTACCCGCGCAGCTGAATTAAGTTCTAGTTCTCACTGGACCATTGCTTCCCGATGATGTTGGGAATGAGGGCGCCGTGCAGCACGGAAGATTGCGGCGAGTGGGGATCTGCGGAGCTCCAGGCGGCTCCAGGGTCTATTCCTATGATCGTAGCGTGCCTTGTTGCAGCTCAAGAAGCACATACAAGAGATGCGCAACGGGGAGGTTTCGGCATGTGCAAGTCAAGCAACGGGCAAACAGAGGATCATATGCCTCGTAGAAGCACGTTCCCCATGGACAAAGAGGTGTGGCAAGCTGACGGGTACCATGAGAGACCTCTTGCCATCCAAAACCAAGGCCGCCTTGAGAGTTGGGGCCTAAAGTACCCAAGAAGTTGGGCCATCTAGCAAGTACCATTCATCACCCACACGTACAATTCACAGAGACACTTCGGAGCGCCGTGTGTGCGGGGCTGGAGCCCGCTCCTCAGTGGAGCAGGATTGCTGAGGTTTGACAAGTGTCGCCTTAGAACTACTAATTGCTTAAGAGTAATCCGTATGTTGCCCTTATAAGGAAGATTCTTTTGTGCTTTTTTGGTTGGCTGGTTGGTTCTGAAGCAAATAGTAGAGAATCAGGTTTAGGGCCTACCAGGGTGAAGGCCCGGACGAACTAAGCCCTAAATAGCCTGCTCGGAAGTACAAAGCGAAGTGTATCCGACAGCTCTTCGGCTGATCGCTAGATGCTGAAAGCCCGAGTCGGTTCCCCTGTCAGTCCCTAATGCCGCATCCTTTTCAAAGTGTAACCCCCTTGTGGGCACAGTTGCGGGAGTTGTGTGGACCCATGAGGCCCCTGATTGAAAAAGCCTACCAAAGCCTGTGCAGCGGCAAACCCACCTTGCAGCCCAGATCAAACACTTCGCTCTGACGTCCGGGTGAGAACCCCCCAGCTAGTCCTGGCTCCCCCCCCTCCCCCCCTAAACCCCGAAGCTCGAGGTTGGGGGCTGGTGGAGCCATGAAGCTGCAGGTGAAGCCGCTGCTCACCTGCTGCACTTTGCGCGAGGGGGGGGGGGGTTCAGGTTCAAACCCGGTTTAGGGTTTAGGGGTGGGGGTGGGGGGGTTCGGGTTCAAACCCGGCCCGAGACTCCCTCGCAGCCCAGGAAGGGCGAAGCCTTTGACCTGGAGGTGGATCCCAGCATCACTGCTGAGGCACGAGAGAGAGGGGGGGGGGCGCGACACAAGGAATTGAGGAGGAGGGGGGAGAAGTGGGAGGGGGCTTAAGGTTTCGGATGTTTGAAACTAAGCCTTAAACATTCTTAACGTCCAAATCCTGGCATAGCACGTGGTGCCTTCGGCTTGCATGCTGGGTTTACAGTTTAGGGTCGTGAGCTGGCCCTTGAGTGCCCTAATATGGTTTAGGGTTTAGGGTTTAGGGTTAGCAAGTACCATGAACCGCCAAGTGCCGCATAGAGGGGGAGGAGGTCCTTTTTCTGTGGGGTTCTCTTCTGGAGGTGCGGCCTGGAGCTGCTCCCAACCACTTTTCTTAAAGGGTTTCAGGGTTCAGGGGGTTTAGGGTTGAGGCCCAAGAACCCTGAAGCCTCCGATTCATCGCCTCAGGTGGAGGGTTGTCTTTCCCCAAAAGCGTGCCTGCCAAGCCCTATATGCCCCAAACCGCTGAATTTGGGGGATCCAATCCCACATTAAACCCCACTACTAGCCCCAGAGCCCTGCAAAAAACCCAAGGGGGGGCCCCTTATGACCCTCTAAACTTGTGAAAACCCTCAACCTCTCCTTCTATATGTATTTAAAACAAAATGACCCCAGTGGGCGGCAAATTTGCCTGCTTCGTGGGCGTGTGCCTGGTTCGTGGGCAAAATTTGCCTGCTTTGTGGGCAGCAACTGCCGTTTTTGCCTCATTCGTGGGCGGGCATTTTGCACTGGTGGGCCTCCCCGGGACACAGGAAGAGGGCCGAGGGACAACCTGTTTGGGGGGGGGCCCCCGGACAGCCCATATTAGATAGGGCAGCAGGGCAAGCTGTGAGAGTTGATTTAGATTTCAAAGGTACAAGCTTAAAGGAAAAGGTATATGAGCACCTCGAAGCTGTAGCCGCCCCATGTGTTTTCTGCAACCTTACCATAAAACTGCTCGATCCGGAGCTGCTGAACCCTAAGCCCTAAACCCTAAACCCTAAACCCTAAACCCTAAACCCTAAACCTTAAACCCTCCTTACGTCAGAGATCATATTTCCCCCCCCTCCCCAGGTGCTCAAGGCCATGATCTTCGAGCGGAAGCCGGCACGGAGCCCAGCAGGGCTGGTAGGGTTTAGGGTTGAGGGTTTAGGGTTTAGGGTTTAGGGTTTAGGGTTTAGGATTTAGGGTTTAGGGTATTTTCTTATACGGGGGTTTACAAAATAGGGGTACCTTATTGGGGGTCTTGAGTTTCAAGGGAATCCTACTATTTGGGGGTTTATATTGGGGGTCCCTGATTCTCGTAAACCCCCATACTGTTATCCCTGTTGTTTGCATGGGTGCTGCTATTCTTGTTATATGGTTAGGTGGTGATTGTAAAAGTCGGGGGGGGGGGGGTTGTGATTATTCGGTTCAGGGCTTCTTTGTGCTTTTTGTTGGGGCGGTTCTCGCTGAGACCCTACTTACGTAACTGCAGTTCTGTGCAGGCCACACCTACGAATGTGGTAGGTAGATAAGCTCTATTAAAAAGCTGCAGGCCAACAGAGTTTCATGGCACCGTCAGAAGGCCTCAAACCCCATACCGGAGAAGCCCTCTCAAAAAGCCGAAAGAAGACCCCAGGCATGAACTCAATTCACAAAAGGCCCAAGATGCCCTCACTGCCCTTACCACAACCCCCCCCCCCCCCAAAGGCATCCCGCAGACGCCTTATGGAAGCCCCTTGAAGGACATGCCGGCCGAGCTCCAGAAGGTTCTGCACAAGGGCAAGGCAAGACTTCGCAGGGCTGAAGCGGGGAGGCTTCTAGGGTTGGCAGCCTCTAAAAAAATGTAGATAAAAAACAAATAACACATACAAAAACAAACAAGTAAATAGTAGATAAATAAATTAAGAAAAAATATATATACACACTACTCTCTAAGGGTACACAAAAAACCAGCCCATACAGAGGCCCAACAGCACAGCTTCATAGACGTTCATTTCTGACTTTTCCGTCTTCCCGGTTTTGCCCGACCATCGCGTGGTTGACCGGGGCCCCTTTCTTTCTCTAGAGACGAAATATAGAGGTCGGAAGAATTGCTAAGACTATTCCCTTATGGTCCCTTTACAATTGCATTATAATGATCCCCCAAACCCCATTCTCACTAGTAAGGCCCCTTTCTGAAGCCCAGCAGTATGCGAAGTTGGGACCCTGCGGCCTAGTGGATCAGGTCTTGCAGGATGAGCAGACCCTGGAGGAGCCCCCGAGTTTGAATGTGGGCAACAAGCCTCAAGCCTTCGCATCTGTGAGCTTTGAATGTGGGTGGCATCAGGGCTTTTTTTTGGAATTTCTTGGTACAGAGGTTTCACACGTTGTGGGGTTAGGGGGGGGGGCATTTGAGGGCCCTAAGCCCAAAAACCTAAGTCTCATGGCCTCCTCTTGCCTCACTCAGAACCCTCCAAACTAAGGTGATTGAAGCCTCACCGGATGCTTATCAGATCCCATGTCTCGAGCCATCCTGAGCCCCCAAAGCCCCACTCAGACACCTTGTCTCCCCAATTCAGGACCGCGGGGTTGTCGATGGCGATTTCGTGGTTATCATGATGACGAAGCCGAAGGATGCCTCTTTTTCATGCCGCCTCTCGAGTGCTGCTGGGTTTGTAGAAGGTTGCGGAAGGTTGAGGGAAGAGAGGCAGAGAGACTTGTGAACGAAGAAGAGAGAAGTGAACGAGCGAGAGAGATTGAGGAGTTTCATGATGTTTCGTGGAGATTCCTGGAGTTTCTGCAGGACCCGGCTCCACCGCCCGCCCCTCCGGCCGCCGAGCCCGAGAGTGCCGCGGCCTCTGCGGCCTCCGCGGATCCGGCCGCGCCGCCGGCGCCGGCGCTACCCGCTCCGGCCGCGCCGGCTGCGGCGGCGCCATGGCAGAAATTGATAGAAATTGTTCACGTTCCATGCACCTTATCCCTCCCTGGTCCCCACCTCGACACAACGTCTACAAGCATTCTACAAGTAGGATCGACTCAGCAAGCCTGTGACTTTCTGTGCCTCCCTTGCCCATGAAGTCCTTGTGTTATGGCTCAACCGGCCTGTCCACCCGGATCTCTTCCAGACAGTCGCCGCAGCTGTAGGATTGAGGAAGCTATAGGCCACGATGGGGCGCGGTGCAAGCACTGTCCGTCGCTGCGTGGATCACAACTCAGTCTTCAATGTGCCGGACACGTTTCCAGAACCTCCGAAATCTTTGGCCCCAGATTTTGAGACCCATCAGCTCTATTTAAAAGAGCTCGAAACCTACCTCCTCCGCGTGGCAAAAATGCCCTGCACTTTCGAGAAGAAGGTGAAGCGACGCCGTGCAGCATGTTTTCGGGACCTGAACACGTTGGACATGCAGCAGCAACTTCGATTGCTGCCATGCGCTGTGCACGCGGAGGCTGATTGGCTTTCGGTTGGTCCGTGACTGCTCGCACAGTTCGGTGGACATTCTTTTGCAGCCGGAAGTCGGGGGCACATCCATCAAGCTTGGTGAATGCTTCTAAATGTGGCCTATCGCTGTCTTGCAAGAACAACATTCTGCAGCCTAAAGGCCGACAGCGTCGCGCTTCACGCTTTCGGAGTTTCTGATTTGCATTTATCATTCAGCATGTGTTTTTGCCTCTATATTGGCCAAGCCAGCTGAGGCCCCTTTGTTCCTTTACTTCCCAGCTGCGCTGCCTCGTGTTGGCCGTAGCCTGTTCCGTTTCAAATCAACTGCCGATGGTCCTTCTCACTACCAGCAAAAAAGCGGCTGTAGATAGGCCCGGGCCAGACAATGGTCTGTGTTACGGGGGTCCTGTTTCGACTATTCGACTATATAGCAGTTTAGCAATGCTCCAAAACCCGAACCCCGATCCAGCCTTGTTTTCTGAACAGCGACCCCCATCATGCGACTTGTTTCAAGGCGTGAGGGGACAGTCTCTTCTCTTTTGGATCCTTCAGCATAAACGTTGCGGGAAAAGTGTGAGCACATGCCCCACCCCCTGAAGACCTCAATCTGTCAGTGTATGGGTTCATGGGGATCGGTTAGACCATGGCATGAGACTTAGCTTATGGGTTTTCTTAGAGGGTCATGGGCCTCAAGTGTAGTTCGCTGTGTACCTTTACCAGCTGAAGCACCCATGCACACAGCAAGCCACATCTCTAAGCAAATGGAAGGGTCTCTGGGGCAAGGATTCATGAGTGCTGGAATTGTTTCTAAGGAATTTCCGTGGATATTTTTGATTAGTCCTTTCGATTCCCCCATTTCGTCTGACTTCCATGTGTGTTTTGGCTATTTCATGCATGCAAAACGTGTCAAATAAAGGTCCTATAAGAAAGCGAGAGTAAGGGGGTAGGAAATAGATCAGATGCGAGCTTTTGATTTACGAAGCAGAAAGAGCATGTGCGCATTTCAGGTTTAATCCAATGAAGAACTCAGGCAGGCTCCCCCTTCTCATTTAGCGGAGGAAGGGCTTAAGTTTTGGGGGGGGTGCCGGCTTTAAGCTTTCAGGCTTCCGTACCCCGGAGCCGGAAGCTTGGGGCACTCCCCTCCCCTCAATCTTCATCTCCCCCTGAAGAAAGCGAGAGGGAGCTCGCTCCTTGAAAGCGCCTGGGTTGTTATCAATCCCAAAGTAGGACCCAGGCAAAAAGCACCGTCACCCCAACCCCCCCCCCCCCCCCCCCAAAAAAAAAAAAACAAAAAAACAAAAAAACACAACAAACTATCCCTACAACTGCACATGAACCTCCGAGCCTTCTAGTTCTCTCGAAGAGTTTTCGTAGGGAAGGGGGGGGAATGCCTGAGAATCTCAGGGGCCCGGTGCAGGGGCCGTCGATGAGCCGCAGCCTTGGCCGGCTGAAGTTTTCAGGTTTTGGGGTTTGGGGTTTAGGGTTGAGGGGTTCCTGGACCTTGCCTGGAGATCAGTAGCTAGTTGTTGCCTTTAAGTTGCTTAAAACTGCAGAGCCTCAAGAGGGGGGCCGGGGGAAGGGTAAGGGGGGGCCATGTTTGGGAAGCCTTGGGGTCGGAATCCAGGTTAGGGAAACAGCCCTCCAAAGCCTCGGCAGCCTTAGACCTACAACTAAGTAAGCCCTGCTGCTCCTGCAAGGCCCCCATGTCGGGGTAGATCCTGCTTTTGGGCGCACCCTAAAAACCTAGAAGGAACGTCATAAGACCCAGTCAAAGAAGGCGCCCAGAATGCAGAACATCCCCAACCCCCTTAGGGGTTTAGGGTGTTTAGGGTTAGAGCCCTGCCTCCTAAGTCAACCTCCATGTCGAGGTCGCAGGTGCAGATTCTGACGGAGATGGGCTTTCCGGCGGATTTGGTGCGGCCAGGGCCTCGGGTTTCGGGGCTTCGGAGTCTGAAGGGGGTTGGGGTTTCGATTCTGAAGGTTTGGGGCTCAGGGTTTGCGGCAGCTGCGGTTGAAGGTTTGGGGTTTTAGGTGGGTTTGGGATCTGCCCCGTCCAAAACAGCCGAAGGAGCTCTACAGCCCTGTGGGGTTTAGGGGCCTTAAGGTTTTCTGAGCCCTCATGGGGTTCAGGGCTCACCCTGAACCCCAAACCTCCAAACCCCAACCCCTACATAAACCCTGAACCCTAAACCCTGCACCCTAAACCCTAAACCCGAAACCCTAAACCCTAAAGCCTAAACCCAAAACCCAAAACCCAACCCCTCCCCCTTTAGCCCAGACGCCCTAAGAACCTCAGCCCTCCGAGCCCAACAGCTCTCCAAGGCAGTGCTTGCGAGCTGCTTTCGGCCATCCGGACCGGGTGCGCCCGTCTTGCTGCCCTTGGGGTTTAGCCCAGGACGGGCAAATCAGGATAGGTTTGGGCTTCCGAGGATTCAAGGGTTACCCTTAAAGCCGCTGTCCTGGGAAACAAATCATGGAGGTGTCTTTCTAGGTGCCGCAAAGTACCTTGTGGGCAGTCCATATGCTTTTCACCAATCAGCAGTTGGCCTGGAAGCAGCGAAGACGATCAGACGCACTCATGACACGGCGTGTTCATGTGCAGCAGGATGTTACGTAAACAAGTCAATAAACAAATAAATATACAAATATGATATATGACAAAGATATATGCTTCTTTGTGTTTTTCAGAATAGTAGGAAGAAATTGCACAAATGCTGGTAGCTATTGCTCTCTGGAGATGCTTCGAGCAAGCCAGAAGCTCACAAGAATCCCCGAGCGCCCAGATTGCTCCCAAGAGGCTGTGGAATACCTGACCAGTGGCATTCCGACGCATCTGCAGCACCTGGCAGCAGCCCCGGCTGCGGTCTCGAACCGGGGCTCCGGTTGGGGGATATTCCGGACCTTCCTGAGAGAGAGATGTGTGGACTCCAAGGTCTCAGGATGGCTTTAGGATGGGGTCCTATATCCCCCTATATTACATTATATATATATATGTATATTAACCCTTTAAAGGATTTTATAAGTTCCTGCATCCCCACATTATATATATATATATATATATATATACCCTTTAATGGATTATATAGGTTCCTGCATCCCCCAGTCCCTACTAAGAACCCAGGGGGTTTAGGACGGGTTTAGGGATGGCTTAGGGCTCCCGATTAACGGCCCGCATCCTTCACAAATCAGCGCAAAGGCTCGGGAGAATCCAAGCTTAGGATCTTTTGCCCCTTTCTTGAAGGTACCAGGCCGTAATAGGGTTTGGGGATTCAGGGGGCTTCCGATTTTTTGGGAGTAGTTCCTCGGGGAGTGCTGCTAGTTGCAACGGCCCCTCGTGACAAAGCCCTGCTGGAAGGCAAGTCGGCTTGAAAGTCTTCAAAACTGAGGGTGCCCCTTTGTGCACCCCCCTGAAGATCCAAAAACTCACAAACCCTAAACCCTCAAGTGGGACACCCCATCCCCGGACTGATCCCCAGGCATCAGGGAGGCCGCCGCCACCGAAGGCTGGGGCGGGAGTTGGGGTCTAAGGGCTACGCGATTTAGGCTTGAGTTCCCTAGGCCTGGAGGGCTTTGGAGCTTGGTTTCAGAGCTTCAGGGAAGGGTCGCGTGGCTCAGCCTCTCAGTGCACGGGGCTTGAAGGCTTAGGAGTGAAGCATCGTGAAGCCCTAAAAAGCCCTAAGAGCCCTCAAGCCCTTACGAGACTCGACGGGGGGCATCACGTGAGGCGCCCCCAGCGCCGCCGAGCCCCGCGCTCAGAGTTGGGTGGACTTGACCCTGACGTGAACCCGAAACCCCATAAACCCTAAAGCCCCAAACCCCATAAACCCCATAAACCCTCAACCCATAAAAACCCTACAGCAGCAGCCTTAAACCACTTCCCCTCCCCCCCCACCCCCCCAAGGCCTCCCCCAAGCCTCGCCCTGGCCCGCAGGCCAGCCCGGCTTCGGCGGCGCGATGCCGCAGATGTCCAGGCTGCCCACGGATCTTTCTTCAAGTTTTGGTGTGGGGTTCTTCAGGGCGGTTGAGGGTTTACGGGTTGTGACTTCAACTTTGTAGTGTTGATGTTCAGGTGGCAAGGTCGCATTGAGCTCGGGCTTAGGGGCTTGGGACTTGGGATTTCGCGGTATCGGGTTTCTGAAAGTCTGGCACTTGCGCTTGTTCCCCGAACCCTGAGCCCTACAAACCTTCAAGCTTCTCCAGAAGCCTATGGAGCCCGTTCCCCCCCCACCCCCCCCAAAAAAAAAGAAAAAACCTCCTCCCCCCCCCCCCCGCCGCTCAACACAATCGGTCCCAACCGAAAAGCCTACAGCTCCTAACCTAAACCCTGAACCTTTAAATCCCCGAAGCAAGGAAGCTGCAGGAAGCTGCAGTCACTCCTTCCATCTTGAAACCTCAAATTCAGGGAAGCCCCACGCAGGGGGAACCAACTTGAGTTGTTTGAGAGCGAGGGCTTGGGGTCAGGATGCAGCCCTTACAGCCTCTTTGGACGTCCTGGGCTCCCTGTACGTTTTAAACAGTGGCCAGCGCACTTCCGCGGTAAGGCGGTAAGACGGAGTGGAACACACGAACTTTCCATGCCGAGTGGAAGCCCGGCCTGCCTCAGATGTAGGCCGATGCCAGCGCAGCCAGCCGATACAGGAGCCTCTCAAGGTTTTAGGAGCAGTGGTGTGGGTTGTAAACTTTGTAAACGACACCCACAAACCTGCAAGGTTTTATAGCCCTGAGCCAGATGTTGTCCGTGGTGAACCCCTCTAACACATAAAAGCGAAGACAAACAAGCGCCGCAAGCAGACCACCCTAAGCCGTGCCCAAGTCCAAATTGCAATTTCGAAGCAGAGACCTTTGGGTTGGGTCCTGACGGGCATTGTTCTGGATTAGGTCCCCTTCTGGCTTCGATACAAAAGGAAGCCTACTTCAGAACAGTTCTGGTGACTCAAGTGTTTAGGTTGGTGCCATGTAGCTTTCCTGCCAAAAGGGTCAAGGGAGGGAAGGTTTGAGATGTCATACGTTTGTGAAGATGCATCTTTCCCATATATATAAATGTAATTTTAAATATAAATATGTATATATATATATATGGTACCCCCCCCAAAGATCCACCCTTTTTTTTCCCTTTTTCCCTCTGTTGATGTGTTGTTGCTGTGTTGTTGATGTGCTACTTTACTTTTTCTATGTTTTAATAGCCGAACACTTGATAATAAACGACACACGACACCATTCCCTCCCGCGAATTTAAACCGCATTTAAAAAATAAGCTAAATGCGGACACGACCCTGTGAATTTAAAACTGCATTTAAACATTTAAGTTAAACGCAGACCACCCCCAGGAACCAAGAACCAAGAACCAAGATGCTCGGGACTCTTGATCCTTGGTTCTTGGTTCCTGGGGCTGCATTTAAAGCTGCATTGAAACATTTAAGTTAGATGCAGACCACCCCCACCAAGAACCAAGATGCCCAGGACTCTTGATTCTTGGTTCTTGGTTCCTGGGGGTGGTCTGCATTTAACTTAAACTTTTAAATGCAGTTTTAAATGCAGCCCAGCCCCAGGAACCAAGAACCAATAATCAAGCGTCCTGGGCATATCTTGGTTCTTGGTTCTTGGTTCCCGGGGGTGGTCTGCATTTAACTTGAAATTTTAAGTGCAGTTTAAATGCAGACCACCCCCCGGAACCAAGAACCAAGAACCAAGATGCCCAGGACTCTTGATTCTTGGTTCTTGGTTCCTGGGAATGGTCTGCATGTAACTTAAATTTTTGAATGCAGTTTTAAATGCAGCTCCAGGAACCAAGAATCAAGAATGGTTCTGCCCGCATTTAACGTAGATGTTTAAATGCAAGCTTTAAATGCAGGAAAACCCTAAGCCCACCATCCCCAAGACTCCGTACTAAAATCTGGGGGTCGCGGACTCATTTCCTCTCCATACTCTGGCCCTAGGATTCACTGACTCACTCGCTCATTGCTTGCAAGCATTAAGTTTGCAAACGGGAGGGTTGGGGGGAAGGGGGAGGGTACCAGGGGTCTTCCACATAGCCAGGACCCCTAAACACCCCCCCGCCCTCCCCTTCCCTCAGCTCCACTGCGGGCTTATTCTTTCAAACCTATTGGTTTAAGGGTTTAGGGTTGCAAAGAGGAGCCCCGAAACCCTTTCGGGTTAAGCAATTAAACCCAAACCCTTAACTTTTAAACCCCAGATGGTTTGGGGTTTAAAGGTTAAGGGTTTAAGATTTAGGCATTTACACATAAGTCGGCAATTAAACCTAAACCTGTAAGCTTTGAACCCTATAGGTTTTTGTTTAAAGGTGTTTAGGGTTTGAGATTTATAAGCATTAAAACCTAAGCCCATAGAGTCCAAACCTTAGGGTTTAAGGTTGAGGCATTTAAACCGTTTGGGCTCTGAACCCTAAAGCCCCATAGGGCCCAAAAGGGCTCAAAGGTTTTAACCCTTTAGGCGCTGAAGGTCTACATGCCCAGACCTTAGGTTTGTAAACCATTAAAGCCTAAGGTATAGGCATTGTCTATAGGAGTATAACCTTATAACCCTGAAGGGCTTGAGACTTAAGTCCTTAAACCTCAAATCTCGCAGGGTTATGCCTATGTTTGCAGGTCTTGCCTCCTGTGAAAATGCAAAGAGAAAGTAGAAGAAGTACCCACATCATGTATGTATATAGGGTACAAGTATTGTATATCAAACACATATAATAAAGAAGGCATAAGGTGATGCAAAAAATCATCTGTTGTAAGTGCCGGGGACGCGAGAATACTGTGAGCAAATATCTTTTCACTATTCCCTGAGACATCCTGAGACCGCCAGAAGTTACTTTACGGTTGCAGATACTTTACGGTTGCATTCTTGTTTTTCAGGGTGCTTCATGTGGTTGTGTGCTGTTATATCTTAATATAGCGAGGGTTTAGGGTGGTTTTGAGTGAAAGACTTGTGATAAGGGTACGTACGCCAAAAGCTTTTGTTTAGATACTTTACTGATGTATTTGTGTTTTTTTCAGGATGGTTCTGGTGGTTGTACGTCTCGTCGGGAGAAACGAGAAAACATGCTACGGGAACTGTGTTGTCTATTGCAAGTCTCTAAACCGGTGGATCTTTGGGGGCGGGGGGGGGGGGTAGTATATATATACATATATACATATATACATATATACATATATACATATATACATATATACATATATACATATATACATATATACATATATACACATATACATATATATATATATACATATGCATATATACATATATACATATATACATATATACATATATACATATATACATATATACATATATACATATATACATATATACATATATACATATATACATATATACATATCTACATATATACATATATACATATATACATATATACATATATACATATATACATATATACATATATACATATATACATATATACATATATACATATATACATATATACATATATACATACATACATATATACATACATACATATACATGTACATGTACATGTACATATACACATACACATACACATATACATATACATATACATAATTATACATATACATAATTATACATATACATAATTATACATATACATACTTATACATATACATATACATATACATATACATATACATATACATATACATATACATATACATATACAGATACATATACATATACATATACATATACATACGCGTACACTCTGTATACAGTATACACATGTATGTATACGTTTGCAAACGTGCGCGCATGCATAGTGCACATCAGAGAGGAGCTACGTCTAGGTTGGATGCAGTTGACAGCGCCCAACCCCTCGCACCCCTAAACCCTGAACACTAAATCCTAACCCCCCCTGGCTTGCGACCCCCGAAGCGCTAAACCCTAAACCCTAAACCCTAAACCCAAAACCCCCCAACCAACCCCGTACGCTCTCAGGGCCGCTGGCAGCGCTGGCGAACAACCCGCGCTTCAACGCGCTCAGGCAGGCGGCGCCCGCGGCCGCAGAGGGGGGGGGGGGGGGAGGGGCATACATTTAGGGTTTGGGGCTACTAGAGGGGGCCGTAACAATTACAGGGTTTTGGGGGGTTCTTATAGTAGTATTATGAAGGGACCATAAGGGAAGACTATTAGTAATTACTCCGACCCCTGTATTAAACGTAGAAGGAGGGTTCAAAGGGCTGTGGGGCTTATATACAAAATATGCAGTCATATTGAGTAATAACAAGAATAATAGCATAATAATAATAGGCAGAACAATACCGTATTATATACAAAAATGATTAAGGTGGTTCTGGGATTTAGGGTGTTGGCAATGGAATCGGGGCTTCATGTTTCAGGGCTGGGCATCGAGGCTCATCGAATATTAAAGAGGAAGATGCATGATGAACTAAACCCTAAACTGGCCCTAAACCCTAAACCCGCCCATTAATTCTGTTCAGGGCACAATCACTCCTGGGTTTCATGTTACTTTGCAAGCTGGAGACTGCAAAGCGCAGCTTAGCAACAATGGCTCAAGAGGCTGGCTCTTAGTAGGGAATGATGGAATGAGGTCTGGGGGGCGGGAGGGGCGCGGGAGGGGGTGGCAGGAGACAGGGTTTTTTTTCGGGTTTAGTGTTCGGTGGAAGAAGCCTTGGATGAGTGACGCGTGCCCAGGTGCAGCAACATCCGAGCACCTTGAACCAGGTGCTGACCCTCATCCACAAGGCCCAGGGCGGATGTCCCAGACTGGGAGCCTCTCTACACCTCAAGCTCAGCCTAATCATTATGTAGACATTTTGATGGTAGTGCACCGAACATGAGACTCCCTTTCAAAGGGCCGCAGCCCCTCAGCCCTAAGCTGCACAGGTTTTGGGCTGGTATTGTACACGTCGCCTATAAGTTGAGCCGCCGTTGTTTCAAACTCGATCGTCCCTGAAGCCTAAACCAACCCCCTCTCCCCCCCCTGCCATGAGAGAAACAGGACCCCCAAAGCAGTTCCCGATCTAAACTTGAGGCCTGTCGTCCCCAGAGCCCATTAGACTCCGGAAGCTGCGCGCAACTCAACACACCAGACCTTCCACTGAGTCGTGGGCTAGGAGAGAACCCAGAGTTCCCCAATAATTCCTGGTGCTACTACTAGTACTCCGCAAGGGTCCTTAGTATGGGCCCTTACTTGGGAAGCCCTTATGTACTCACATATCTCGTATCCCTTTAAGGACAGTAAGGGGCCATTTGACCAGGTCCCAACTTGAGTCCTAACACCCCTTCCCCCCTGACGCCCCCTCCGGAACCTTACCCCTATTTAGATACCCATTAAGGACTGTTAGTAGAAGGGGGAACATCCTAAGTTATTGGGCTTTAGGTTTAGGTGTTTCGTCTTCTCGTGTTTAGGGCCTCAGCAGGGCGATCCCAACATGATCAACCTGATTGCCGAGAACCAGGAGGAGCCCCATGGCGCTTTGATTTTTGGGTTTAGGGCGATACTTGGAGGTTCACGGGCGATGCTTGGAGGTTCACGGGTAGTTATAATGGGGTTATAGGTACCCTAAGTAAGGTTATCAGTCATGAGTAAGTGTATCGTTACCCTGATTCTAAACCCTACTTATATATACCCATGAACCTCGAAGTAGCGTAGCTTCGTGAAGGGTCGCTTGATCATCTTCTGGGTCGCAGAACTTGTTCGGAAATTGCCAGGAGTACTCCCCAGTGCGAACCCGTGCATCGCCAAAACGCGGTTCAACAGATTTTGGGCGGCCCGAGGTCTCTCAAATTACCCTGCTCCTAGGTGTTTGAGTCTTACCTGCCCAGGGCTGAGGGTTGCCGGGGGGGGGGGGGGGGGGGCCTGATTGCTGGGAGCCTCATGGGCAGCTAGACTTCAGGTTATCAGTACAGAGTGCCTTGCTCAATCCGAAATTTAAGAGCTTTGGGCTCAAGCCGCCGACCCCGCCAGAGCATAGTTGAAAGGTCTAAACCCGCTCGTCAAAGGATGCTTTCCTCGTCGCATGGTTCGAAGAGCATCGCAGCCTGCTCGGCAGAATCCCAAAAAGTTGTGAAACGCTCGCGCCTCTGTGAAACGTGGGGGGGGGGTAGGGGACCAGGACCCAAATCGGGCAATTTGGAACAAAGGCCAGACCCAGACCCAGCACCCGTGTTTGGGTGGCCTCTTTTCTTTGATGCCTGATTACAATCCTTGGGGGGGGTAAGGGGGGGTGGGGGCGGACATGGGTTGGGGGCAGGGGGGGGTAGGGGGGGGGGTCGGGGGGGGGGTAGGGGGGGCTGGGGGGGTGGAAAGGGGGGGGCGGCGTGGGGCTAAAGGGGGTGGTTTGGGTTTTTTCAAAAAAGCCCTGGCCCTTCCACGAGTTTACGCGGTGTGGGTGGCCTGGCCCTCCACGGAAAAGCTGCCGGGGTACCCCCCCCCACCCCCCCCCCCCCCCCCCCCCTCGCGTTTTGGAGGGGTAAGGAGGGAAAAAGGGAGGTTTTCACCTCCAGAAACCTATCCAACACGCCGCCAGGGTCGGCGGACCTTTCCAACCCTAAACCCTAAACCCTGAACCCTCAAACCCTCAAACCCTCAAACCCTAACCCTAAACCCTAAACCCTAAACCCTAAACCCCCAAACCCTAAATAAACCCTAAACCCTAGCACAAAGGAACCTTCAAGATAGGGCTTTGGAGCACTTCTTGGAGAGTTGGAGCCCCCTAAAACCCCTAAAAACCCCAAAGCCGACCCCCCCCCCCCCCCCCCCCCCCCCCCCCGCCAACACATCTCAAAGCCTTCATCTTGTGAGTCATGGCTGTTTATGATGATGGTTGCATCTGGTTCATGTATGGTCAGTCTCTGGTCCCTTTTTTGGGTGCCCGAATATATAAGTGGCCGCCTTAAAGCAGTGACCCCCAAAAGGAACAACATTTCCAGAAGTGACCAAGGAGCCTCTAAGCCCTGAACGCGCAAAAACCCCGTTCGCCCAGGTTTGTCCGCTTGCTGGCGCAGCCCCTATCGGCCACGGACCCCATTGCAGCTAGGGGGCCCAGAGGTTCCGGTGGTGTTTCATGCTGAGCTCACCATCACGGCTCATAGGGTTAGGGTTCGGGCCAGGGCTTACTGGGCTTGCTGGGCTTGCTGGGCTTGCTGGGCTTGCTGGGCTTGCTGGGCTGAGATCAGGAGGATGGTGGGATCTAGGGGTGTGTCTGCTACTTGCTGCGTAGGGTTTGGGCACAGGCCCTTGAGTAGACCAGGCCGCTCCTCCAGTCAAGGGTTGCATGGGTTGCTGAGAGTGGACACACCCCACCCGGTGACCGGGCTCAAGAGCTTGAATCTGAAGTGTGAAGCTGTGATTCTCGCGTTGTTCATTCTGCGGCATCATGCAGTCGTGGCGTGCCTTGATCCTCGCTGTGCTTGCGGCCGCTCTGGCCGGCCATCTCCAGGGATGCGCCGAGGAGACAACACCGGACGAGACCGACCCCCATGACGGCCATGACCATGACGGCCCGTGCCCGCATGGTGACTGCGACGATGACCACGACAATCACACGGATGATGATCATGACAACCACACCGACGATCATGATCATGACAACCACACCGATGATGATAACCACACGGACAACCACACGGACTGAGCCGGTTATCTAGATCGAGTGTGAATTTTGTGGCTTCCTTGTCGAAGGACTGGGAGAAATCTTTTCGGCTGGGAGTGGAGTGCTGGAAACGTGCCTCCATGCGGGCTGAGTGAGATCTGCCCTCATCTTGGCCCACCCACCAGCCGGACGGCATGATGTGAGCAGAGTGTCGCGATCATTTCCCCTTCAGGATTTAGGGCATTTAGTGTCTAGGGTACCCTGGTTTGTGGAACTGCACCACCTGGTACAATGAGTCTAGCATGGCAGAAGAGCGAGACTTTCAATCATGGATGGTTGTCCTCAAGCCGAGCGCCCCCAACCTTGAACACTGAGAGTTGTGTGTGCGCCCCCCAGAACACCATGGTTCCGTCTGTGCTGAGTAGGTTGTCAGGTAGGGTTCAGGGTGTATAGGGTGAGGGGTATCATTGTGGGTGCTCACGCCGTCCGGCAGCAGAGGGGTGATGTTCTTGCACAACGCTGCACCACGACCACGTCAACGACGCTCAATGCGGATCCCTTGCATCAATTTTTCTGCAAAACCAGGGTTTAAGGGGTAGTAGGGTTAGTAGGGTGTTGAGTTGCAGGCAAGAGACGATGTCTGCGAGTCTCTCGGGATTTTGGCGTTGGGGCTTCTGGAAGGCAGGAGTTTACGAAATTAAGGGTAGACCCCCAAATAGTAGGATTCCCTTATAATAAGGACCTGAATAAGGCACCCCGAATTTAGGAAACCTCCAGGACACGATGGAGGTCTTGGGAGATCAATGTTTGCTGAGGGCTCCTCAAAGGCTTGAAGCTTCTTCGCGCACCATGAAGAAAGCCCTTTCAACCGGGAACCCAAAAACAGCCCACTTGAAGGTTCATGGGTAGTTATAAGTAGGGTTCTAAGTACCCTAAATAAGGTTACAAGTATAGTTACCCTTCTTATAGCCCTACTTCTAACTACCCATGAAACCTCCAAGTGAAGTCCCTACAAAACCTACAAGGATGGGCCCGGTTGGGCACTGACTTTCTCTGCTGTGCGAAGAGATACGTTTAATTCACTTGCATATCTTCCTATACTCACAGACTTGGCAAAGGCCTGCGGAAAATATGACCGGTGCCATGCTCCGCGTCTCCAGGGGAGTGGCTGTAAGCAGAATTATGTGGGTATTCCCCCCCAAAGGGTATCTAGTATTCCCGCTACGCAAGATACTGTAATCCTTACAAAAAGGGCGTAAACCCTCAACCCTAAACCCATTCTTGGCCCTGCCTGTCCTTCACGAGGACTCTAGGGAGAGCCAGTCGTCGAAGTCCGTGAACCCCACGACTCAAGTGGTTGATTTCAGGTTCGCAAACCCTTGCCCACGACCTAAGCCTTCCAGCCCCAAGAGCACGGCACCTGCAGCAATTCTCTGATCCTTTTGTTTTTCTCTGGCGGCTGTTTAGAATCCTAGTATGAAGGTACCTTCTAGGAACCTAGGGCCCGCAACTGGAGGTTCATGGTTCTCACCGTTCCTACTATGCGCAGGGTATCAAGCCTACGTGTAACCCGCCCGCCTCCCCCGAGTCCCCCTTCAAGTAGCTGGGAGTTTACGAAAATAGGGGACTCCTAATATGGACCCCCGATTGGTAGGATTTCCTTATAATGAGGACCCCGATAAGGCACCTATCATCGTAACCCCAACTAAAAATCCCCCATTGAGGCCATGCTGCAAGCTGCGCAGGAGCTTGGGTGAGAGTGGGGGCGGGGCGGGGGGGGGGGGGGGGAGAAGGGCCAGGCTTTGAGAACCTGAGCCCGAGCACCTTGAAGGGTTTTAGGGTTCAGGGCCTGCACGCGAAATGCCTCAAGTTCTGGCTGCCTCGCGACTTGCATTCTTACAAGGCCGCCTTCAGAAGGCGGCCTTGTAAGAAGCCGGGCAGGCGCAGCTTGGGCGTGAGCCGCAAACGCGGCGACTACAAAGAAGTGGCGAAACGGCGAGGAACGTTAGTTTCACGACCAGTTTTTGGAGGACCCCTCACGAAGCTTTGAGAGGCATATGTCCTTCCAAAACTCACTCCGTGGGTTTGCAGAGAAAGGCTGGGGGCACCAGGAGAGCATAAGGAGAATTGCAGACAGTGTGGAGGTTGAAGAAGCACAAAGCTGCAGGGCCGGATGCTCGGATGCTCGGCATTGAGTGCACACGCCACGCTCCAAAAGCTTCGACGTTGAGTGGGCTGCACTATGGGGGAGTGGGCGGTGGCGTGGGATGTAGGGAGTTACTCTGGGTGCGCCTTGATCCTGAAAGTTAACAGCTTCATGTGGTTTAGCTGCGTGTTTTGTGCAAAGTCTAGTGGTTTGAGCGCGCAGGCGCCCGAATGCGCCTGCCAGCCACGTCGGACTGGTGTTGGGGGCTATAGTGCCGGCTAGTGGTCGGACGAGAGATACGACAAACCCGCTGGGCCATTTCTGAAGAGCAGCGCATGTGGCTGCCAGCTACGGTGTGGGAGCGAGGCACCAAGGTTACAATCGGCCGAAGGGAGCAGCACAGAGTTGAAGATGAGGAAGATTCAAGGCACCGAGAACACGGCAAGTGACTGAAGTAAGGAAGTGATGCACACGGGCGCCCATGCCACTGAGGCCCTGAAAAACAGAGCAATCAGCTCACACGTGCGGCCCATGCTGTGGAAGCCTGTGTGCTGCCAACCAGAGTCGCCATCAACACGCTGGCAGCGATCATGATGCAGCAAGGCCGCCTGACAATGGCGGGGCGTGAAGAGGTCTTTACCTTTGCTACAAGGGGGGTTGATCGCCTCAGAGCACTTGTGCGCGTAGTGACACGTAAGAGCACGGAGTGGGCGCAATGCCGCAGCGAGGGGCTGCTCGAAGCCGTGAGATAGGCTGAGCCGAGCCCCGAGCCTTATTGGCATTCCTTGCGAAACACCCACCCTCACCGCCCTACAGCAGTGGGGGCGTGACAGTCGCCTGTCGCCCTGCGCAAACTTAGGCAGGTGCGAGCAGGACGAAGTCAACGCCGCCTGCTGAAAGCTTCCAAAAAGAAAGTCGTTTGCATCTCTGATTCTCTGCATCATGTAGTGCTCGTGTGTCTGGTTGGGGCATTTCGCTGGGAAGAAACGGATCACAAACCCAACGAAGAGCAGACGACGACGTGATGATGAGCCTGCAGAACTTCTCTGGTTTTTCCAGCACAGCCGCAAGGGCAAACACACTGCCTGGGCCTGTCCGCACACTTAACTCTCACCGTTGTGAAGGGCGACACAGAGCGCCTGCGGTGCCAGTTAGCCATGTGTGTTGTGCACTTGGCTTTAGACCTTGCCAGGGCAGCCCCTTGAGGCACAAATGCTCGAAGGACAAAATGAACCCAATACGCGCGCTAGCTGCTTTGCACTTCAGCGAACATTGCCGGCCCAGATCCCGAAACGTAAGCAACTCAGAAACCAAGTTCTTTTCCGAGTGGCGCTGGCGCAGCAGGTCTTCTTAAACCCTAGACCCCATGCAGATGCAAGCGCCGGCGGCCCCTGGGGCGCCCGCTGCGCCCGCAGCTCCGCCCGCCCCGGCGGCCCCCGCAGCCCCCGCGGCGGCCCCCGCGGCGGCCCCGGCGGCGGCGCCCGCTGCCCCGCTGGGAAGCCCAAGTGAGACTCCGGGTGAGGGGGGAGGTTTTGAGTTTTTTCAGGGTGCTTAAGAGTTTTGGATTTTCGAGTTTTGGGGTTCCATTAAAGGGGCCTTTCTGCAAAGGAGTCCGGACCCTGATGAATAGAACCCCCATCTAGTGATCTGGGGCATCCGTCAGCACCGGTTCTGGCTGTGAAGGTTGGCAGTTGCAATTTGTGGTCTTTTTGAACTCTGCAGCTCATATGCAATCTTCAGAAACGAGCCTTCAAGTGAGCCTTGCTCACTGATGGTTGGGGTTTGGATATCTGCCACCTGCAAAAATTCTGTAGCGGGGCCTTTTTGGGGTGCGGGGGGGGGGGGGGGGGGGGGGGTTGGGGTCCAGTAGCTTTGGACTTCCTGTGCCTGGCCTACTTGTCAAGGGTTTAGTTCATAAGGTGGGAGTTCAGTTCGAGAATCTATGGAGCAGAAGTTTGAAACGAGGAGATGTGACGATATGACGAACCCCTTGAACCCTCAACACCAGGCCGCCAAGGTCCCTAACCCGAACTCTTCAACCGCCCCTGCATTCCGAATGAACTCTTATAGAAACTCCCACGCCCTATGCCTGGCTCACCTAGGCCCCAGCTGCCACCAGGCGCTGAAGAGGCGCATTCCCAAGTTCGATACAATAATAAGAAGTGCTTTGAATTCGTGCCCGCCCCTTATTTTCTTCTGCCTCATATGTTGGAACCCTAGAAATTCGAGCAACCCTTATATATGGGATGTCCGGGTTAATTTGGGGTATGGGGCATTGCAGCATTCCGAAGTTTTGCGTCTTTGCGGCCTTTACGTGTTGCACTTTGCAGGTAGTGGTTGTTGTACAGCGGGCTTTGACAAAAGCTTCGAGGAGTTCGGTCGTATGCAGCTCTGAAGAGGTCGTTAAGCCCTGAACCTTCAGCCCTCTTCGTCTGTAGTCGAAAAGCCCGAAGCCGCAGAATTCCATGCTTTGAAGAGCCATCTTGGCATTCGGTGTAGTGTTTTGAAAGGGGTCGAGGAGAAACCTACCCTCTCAGGCCTCAAAAGGTCTCAAGGCTACAGCACCCTACGCGGTTCCTTGTACCTGACAACAGGATTCCCGTAGCGCAATGAAAGCCCTACAAGAGTACCCATTCCCATACCCCACAGCCGGCATCCCAGAACGCAGTTGCCATGAAATTCGGTTGCAGGTACGGCAAGTAGTTGTAGGTACTTGGCCTGGGTCACCCCCGTTCCGCCCTGCCCAAATCTTCGTTCCAAGGCCATCCAGCGTCTAGGGGTCCTGGGGTTCGACCGCGCGGCCTGCATGGAGGCACAACGGGAGCGCACCCCCCAAGTTCGGAGGGTGGAATTTCGGAGTCCGAACGCGCAAGGAACTGCCAAACGCTCTACACCC